TGGTGGGGCTGAAGTTTTCAGTGCAGAAAGAAAAACTTTTTAGTCAATAGAAAGCTGTTACCAAGATAGATCTCTAAATTGCAAGCTGTCAACCACTTTAGGCCACAGTTCTCAACTGCTGCAAGTTACTCACTTCTGCCAGCCTAAGCAACAATTCTGATAACAAGCCAGCGGGTGGGGGCGATGACTTCTATAGTCAAGAAAGCTAACACTTATGCAGAAAAACTCTCTTAAAGGAGACCAGTTTCTTGACACAGAGTTAGAAGGGATCCTAGAGGTCACCTATTCCAACCCCGTTGCTCAGTGCGGGAATCAGTCAACAACAGCACCCCACTCTGCTTAAAGGAGTGCATGTCTTTTAATTTAAAAAAAAATGATTGAAAAAAGCATTTGCAGGAGAAATTCTTTGGGGGCTGTGCCTTTAAGAAAGGGAGCAGAGCCCCCAGAAGCCCCACCATAGCTACAAGCCTGGATGTTACAAGTATTTTGCTTTGTCCTTAGGCAAAAAAGGCATAATTTGCAGCATGAATCCAATATTCATCACAAATGTATTACTGGCTGAAGTTTTCAGTGCAGAAAGAAAAACTTTTTAGTCAATAGAAAGCTGTTACCAAGATAGATCTCTAAATTGCAAGCTGTCAACCACTTTAGGCCACAGTTCTCAACTGCTGCAAGTTACTCACTTCTGCCAGCCTAAGCAACAATTCTGATAACAAGCCAGCGGGTGGGGGCGATGACTTCTATAGTCAAGAAAGCTAACACTTATGCAGAAAAACTCTCTTAAAGGAGACCAGTTTCTTGACACAGAGTTAGAAGGGATCCTAGAGGTCACCTATTCCAACCCCGTTGCTCAGTGCGGGAATCAGTCAACAACAGCACCCCACTCTGCTTAAAGGAGTGCATGTCTTAATTTTAAAAAAATGATTGAAAAAAGCATTTGCAGGAGAAATTCTTTGGGGGCTGTGCCTTTAAGAAAGGGAGCAGAGCCCCCAGAAGCCCCACCATAGCTACGGGCCTGGATGTTACAAGTATTTTGCTTTGTCCTTAGGCAAAAAAGGCATAATTTGCAGCATGAATCCAATATTCATCACAAATGTATTACTTAAAGCTTTGAGTGGAGTGTGTGTGTGGGAACTGGCTATTTGCAAACCAAAATGTATGCATCTGTGCGTATGAGACACAATACGAAACTTCTCTTGAAAAGTAGGCCCAGAATTAAAAAAGGGACTCTACTGTTTGGTGTTATTTACTTTTGGAATTTTATCTTTGCCTTTTTAACACTGGTAGAACCATGAAAATAAGATTCCCCCTCCCTCAAGCCATACTTCATTTAATGCAACATGCAATAAGCCATTTCAATCAATCAAGGGCAACTAGGCTACATCTTTTATAATCAAAAGGTGGAACCTAGTTAGAAATCACAATTGATCTCTTAGTCTGAAATCACAGTCTTAGGCTGGGAATAAGATCAGTTTTAGTGATGCACTGAATAATTTAGTGCAGTGTAAAACAAATTAGAACATGTTCCGTTGTTCATAAGATGGATGGTGCAACAAAGAGGTGGGTATTTTAATATCCTGCTTAATGTCAACTTAGAAAATGAGATTCTTCCCTAACCTTTCGGCTTCGTTCACAAAGATGGATGGCCACAGAGCCATACCAAGAAAGGAACACTAATATATATTTGAGAATTCAAATAGCTAAGATTTCTCTCTGAAATGGGACTCATAAAAATTGTGACTCCTTGAATAGAAAATGTGCTTTGATATTATATTATTTAAGGACTGTAACAAATTAACCTAGGATCTCCTGCTTATAAATTATTTATTTTGTAGGAAAGACTGGTTATGGATAGTAATGCCAAATATTCTATTCAGTAGCCATATTAGTTTATGTTTACAAGGTTACTTCAATTTAACAAACTCTGAAGCACTTTAGACAGTTTATTCCCATGATCTGGAGAATTGGACAGAGGCAGAAAGATAAATGGAGAAGACTTCTGAGGACCCACTTGATATAACCTACTTCCGGGTGACGTGCACGTCGCGTGCTTTGGGGGTGAGGTTCCCCCCAGGGTCCGATCCACCGGTGGTGGGGAATGGGCCTCTGGAGTGGGGGTTTCCCTGCCCCCCGGGGGGACTTGGCAAGCCTATTCTGAGCTGAATCAGGCCCCAGACCAGTTGGGAATGTTAGTTCCCTGATATAACGTCCATTTCTAATGTGGGTTGGGAACACTGTCTTGACTAATCTAGTTTTCTCTAATTTAGGCCCATTATGCACTGATCTTTTTCCTTGCTTGTCATTTTGCATGTCTCCCCACCGTCACCCTGCAAGTCTGTCAGTTTTTCCCTCTATTCTGCAGTGTGTCGTCCCCCCTTCAGTGCTTTTGTGACAGTCTTTTCCCTTGCTTTGCATCAAAGCTGAGGGTAAAATTCAAAAGCAGACAAATTCCCTTGGATTTCCCCCTCTCCCTTTTCCTGCCCATCGGAGGCCACTCCTCCACCCACATCAAGGTCATTTTGCCACTCTGCGCCAGAGCAGGGAAGTGAGGCAGGCGTGGCAGCGGCACATTCTCCTCTTCCCCAGAACTGCTGCTCAGTTTGTGCTTGGAGCAGGTCTTGTGAGTGTGCAGAGCCTTGCAGTGCCACCTCCACCACCAGCCCAGGCCCCTCACCTGCCCCTAGGCACCCTTGGCAGACTCCCGTTCAGGATCCCACTGGGCCATGCTTCTCCTCCAGTTATGCTGCCTCCTTTCCCACCATAGAAGGACATCTATGTTCAAAGTTAAAATGGAGGTCTTCCCCCACAAATGATTGCCCACTGGCCCTTTCCCTGCCTCTTTTCCTCTGATTGGGCACTTGCACACATGATCCCTTTTCCCTTTTCACAATGGACCCTAGGATCCTTGCCTTCTTGCCTCAGGGCATCCACTCCCCTGGCTTAGCAACATAAGTCAGTTTGCTGTAGTAGTTAAGAGCGGTGGACTCTAATCTGGAGAACTGGGTTTGATCCCACACTCCTCCACATGCAGCCAGATGGGTTACCTTGGGCCAGCCACAGTTCTCTCAGAGCTTCCTCAGCCCCACCTACCTCACAGGGTATCTGTTGTGGGGAGAGAAAGACAAGGGGATTGTAAGCTGCTCTGAGACTTTGAGTGAAGAGTGGAGTATGAATCCAACTCTTATTCATCATCTTCATTAGCTGCCATTGCTGTGCCTGCCCCTTGGTTTTCCAGCTTTCCACCACTCTCCTGAGCTAGACTTCTGGTTAGATTCCCCCTTTTGCACATTGGACCCTAGGGTCCTCACCTTCAAAGCCTCCTGGCACCCACCCCCGTGGCTTAACATCATCATCTGCCCATGCTGCACCTGCCCCTCATCTTGATTTTCCAACTTTCCACCCACTGCACCAGGCCTCCCACTGGATTTTCACTCAGCTCCATATGTTCCACCACCTGATCTGCTTGCCGGTGGGCTCCCACCATGACTTGGCACTCTTTCCCACTCTTTCCCACTAGAACTTGTCAATAAGAAAAGGGAGCTTCGCAGCTTCAAAAACAATTTTCAAGGGGGAGGGGGGAGATTGGCATCGAGTCCACTCCTCTTTTTTCCACAGTGGCCGATTACATAACAGAGAAGCCTCTGGCAATAAGAAAAGGGAGCTTAGCAGCAGCTCAGGCCAGTTTAATTCATGGAACTGAACAAGGAGGATTTAATTGGAAGGCAGTTAATGCAATTGGGCAATTGCATCAATTAAAAAAAACCCCTCTTTGGACTCCACCCCTGACACATCATGAGTGACTTTCCCACTCCAATTTAGCAAAAAAATGCGGGGTTTTGTTGTAGCTGCAGAATACATACACAGACTTCAGAATAAACACTGGAGGAGAGGATTGGTGTGTACAGCAGGAACACAAATCTGAAGTCAAGCTTAAAGGCTTGACTGCTGGGATTCTCTGCAGTAAGCTGTGTGTGCAGAAAGGGCCTTAGTTTGGCTTCAAAGCATGCGTAAGGTAGCCATGTTGGGAGAAAGAGCTTTGATCTGTTAGGCACATTTTGGAACAAGCAGAGTCTTTACAGGCTCCAGTGGAACAGAAATGAAACCAAATGAATAGAGGTAAGTATCAAGGAGTTTGTGGAGCATCTTTTAAACTAATTCCTCACAGACAGCTGTCAGCAGCATCTGTAAATTTTTTAAGATCACACCTCGTCAACCAAATGTGAGGCACTTAAAATATAGATGAAATATAATATACTGTTGATTAATATTGATTGTTTGCAACAACCATCTCTCAAAAAATGTTTTAAATAATTGTCCTGCCATTTCCAAATACATTTTGGAAACCCTGCAAGATAGCTTGCCAGATCTCTGTTCCAGTAAAACAAATGGCTTGGCTTTGCCATCTTTGAACCCTCAGTGATATGTCTCCATCAAAAGGTAAGCTTTCTAGTCCGCAGGATGTGTGCCATACTGCATGCCTCTCCAAAGAAAACGACAATGGAAAACAAACGACCAACAACAAACCCATCAACACCTGCAGAGGCCTCCTCTCCAAAATGTATCAAGGCAACCACTGCTCAGTGACAAACATCCTTTACAAGGGACTGATCTAATTATAAAGTTAAATTACAGGGTCCTTATAAAGAAAACACAATAACAGCAATGAGCCGGGAAGTGGCTAAATTCCCAACAAAATCATCCCTATTAGTTCCTATTCATGCCTTGAATTATCCCCTTTTATCTCTGCACAACATTCAGCACAACGTTACATTTTTAAGTATTGCAACTTTCTGCTGACATTAATTTATTCCTTAAAATAGAAAATCCCAGCCTTTCCTCTGTCAGATATTTAACCCATTCAAATATTTAGTTTCCAGACTTTTTTCTTGACATTTAAAGTGTAAGAGAACTCAGAAGTGGATGAGTGAGCCATGAGCATGAGAAAAAGCAGAGATGTAGTTATTTGATCTAACAATTAAAAAAAAAAACCAGCATCCTACCTTGAAAACAAACATTTCCCGGCGAAGAATTGCTAGAGTGTTAAAATTCCCATCACAGATGTTGGGTTTGGCTCCAGGGTAAGAAGGCTTGTCTCCTGTGGGTGGCTGGGGAGGTTTAGGCTGCCTGTCATTTTTCCGTGGATCTGCTGGAGGAACAGAACGATGTGGGGGCACTGTTGGCAGAGGTTTTGTTGGTGGTGGAATTTTGTCAGGAGGACCTTTAAAAATACCAACAGATGAATACACAGGATAAGGTATACTGTATGATGACATAAATTTATTTGCAGAAATTACAAACTTGATCACTAGCAATTACAAACAATCTTTTTTCCCATTATGTACTAACTCATTATAGAATATGGACCCAACCCCCCCAAGAATACAACAAATAAATCTTGCTTATTTTAATTTTTTTTTAAATTTACATTTGATTTATATACCGCTTCTGACCCCGAAGGGTCTCTGAGCGGTTTACATAGAGGTTATACGTAGAAGGCATTCAGAAAGAAAAAGAAGTTACAATTTTAGTAAAATGATTTTCAATTTCGAGAGCCTATTATGTTTGCACCCAACAAATTAATAATATTTATTAACTGAATATTTAAACAAAAAAATAATTACAAGCATCTTTAATAAGACACTAATCCACAGCTGAAAGAAATATGACATGGAGAACTTATAATTAATGAGGAAATCCAGTCTTTTTTCTTTATCTTATATTTAATCTAGATATTAAAGCAGAGTCTACTTTGGTATCACTGATAGGAGAAGGTCTCCTGTTGCAATGGCTTTGATTGAAAATGCCAAATCCTAACTAAAGTTTTCATATAAAATTCACTAGTGATTTCATACCTAACTTCCCAAATGAAATAAAAGTCTTCAAAGTTTAGCTTACAGCTGCCAGAAACCAGTATTCAGTAAAAGCAAAATAACTTTGTCTGGACCTTCTGTCTAGACTACCAACTCATGAGGTCATGGCAAGTGCCTTCTTCTTAACCACACAGGAGAAACTCCATCAATTAATTTCCTTTGTTGAACAGTCCACTTATGATAGTATTCACAATATACTGCAAAGGTGCATTTGACTGTTGCTGTACTGAGTTGACACTGACAGCTATGAAACTATTCCATTGATGACAGAGCCTTCCTCCAGCTCAAGAAGCTTGCTTAACCACAATACATCTTCCACTGGAAGATGGCTCCTTGCAGCGGAGGAAGATGCTGCCATTAGCAGGAAGCATAGACCTTCATTCATTTAACTGTATTCTGCTACACTGCGTATGGAATCTTCATTCAGTCCAAAGATCATTTCAATGGAAGAGGTTCTCCTGAGCCTACATCACACACCCAGTTTCCTTTTGCCTGTTGCAGTCATTATCATTGTATACAGCATCCAAATGTGTTTTAGATACTTTTGTCAGAGATGAAACGGGGAATGGGCAGAAATTATTTAAACTCAGTTTAAATGACAGAAGTTATTCATGTTGAAATAAAACTTCAAAAATGTAAGCAGTCAATGACCAGCAAAATAATTAAAAGATCTCAGTGGTCAAGCATACAGAGTGCAACTGACCTTAGATGTTTTGGTGTTTGAAGTACAAATGCCTATTATATCTGCTCCACTTGAAAATGTGAGATAGAAAAGAAAATGGAGAGAAAAAAATAAAAGAGAAGAATCAAGGAGAAAAATAAGGAAGGAATATGGCAAGAGTTAAGCAGAAAAGACAGAAGAGGCCCAGCCCAGGTAGGGGGGAATGTCCTACATTGAGGTAAAGTCAAAAAGTGACATGGAGATGAGCTAAAAATACTGGAGGTACCTGTACTGACAATATTGGAGCTAAAAATACCTGAGGTACCTTTACTGACAGCAGAGGATGCTACTGAGCCAAACGTGGTACATTTCCAACCAGGTAACTAGAAACCTTCCCTTACTTCTTTCCTTGTCCTGAGTACATACCACAGGTTATCCTGGCACTCTATAGGCCTGACAACACACTGTCTCTTAAAACTGTGCTGGAACCAGCCATTCAACATCTTTCTTTTGAGCAAAGCCACTAGCTTCATCACAACATGAAATCAAATCCCCCTTTGATGAAATTATAGTTCTTTTTAATAAAATGGTTATTATAGGATTTCAGTGCTCATATTTGCTTAGTTGTAAATGCAGTCCTCAAAACACATGTCCTGATGCAATCCCACCAACCTCAAATTTGGCCCTCAGTGAACTGCTGTAATTTTGGTTGCCTCAATCCAAGCAACCACCCATGTACTTTTAATGTAGATTGCCTGCCCTATTCATTGCAAAAAAAAAAAAAGAGGTGGAGATCTGGACACACAATATACATGCGGATTTGTTTATCTTCAGTGAGATGCAATGTGTGCACTGAGCATGATATATTGGACCAGGTTTAAGACCGAAACCAGCCACCCTCCCCCATGTGTAATTCTTTTATGGAAAAGCTACATACCATATATCTTTTGGATTCCCTGTAAATCATCATTAGGAAGTTTGAAGTTGTCAGTTTCCATGTACTGGTAAAATGGAGCCATGATGGCAGTTGGGTCATTCGAATGCTCCAAGCCTAGGGCATGTCCCAATTCATGAACTGCAACTAGAAACAAATCATTGCCTAGAAGAAAAGGAGGAAAAAGGTATGCTTTAGAAGTACATTATCAATTCATCACATCCCCTGTAGTTGACACAAAGCACCATTTAAGTGACTTTTCCAGACAGAGACAATATTTCACAAGCTGCTGATGCACAACCTTCTTCCATGGCTCCTACCAGTGAAATCCCAATATTACACTTCATTTACATGCAAAGAATATGACAAATAGGATATTTCTATAAAACAAAGCTCAGATTGATTATTTTCCAACTATCAGCTATAAGATTTCCAAAGCCACATAAATGTTAGGCCCTAGGAAGGCGTTTCATGCACAATAGATAGCCTCAAACTGTACTTCCTCTTCATTTAACACTTCTATTGGACAAAAGTCCAATGAAAACCTTTAATCTTACACAAACTGAAGTTTTAGTGGAAGAGGAAGAGCATATGCATGGAACTTCTTCATAGGATCCAAGCCATAGATCAAGACACACATGTCCCTTTCAGTGAACACATGAACCTGACTTTTACTGAATCAAACCATTGGTCCATCAAGGTCATTAATGTCTGCTCAGGCTGAAACAGCTGTCCAGGGTCTCAGGCTAAGGTCTTTCATGTCACCTACAACTGCAGTGGTGGAATGTGCCATAAAGTCATAACTGACCTATGGTGACCCCTCATGGGGTTTTCAAGGGAAGTGTAACCATGTGTGTTTGCAATTGCATTTGTCTGTACTGTGCTACATGCTGTGTCTGTCAGGTATCTGTGTATCTGTGCATTTGGGACTCAGGGATTACTGCTGTGTTTGCTGCAATGTTTGTATGCTTTGCTGTACATCTCCTGCCTGCACCTGGATGAGCAGGGCTGATGTTGCCTGCTACAGGACACGTGCCCCCCTGCACCTTCCCAGAGTGCCTCTGGACAAAGAAGACCAGCGCCATTATGCACAATGAGAGGCTTGGAGAAACAACAGGATTTCCCACCATTGCCAAACTGTGGGAAAACACGTAACCCGGCCTCCTATCTGGTGTTGGCATCACAAAGAAAACTTCCTTTATTGCACCATGGACCAGGCACAACTCTGCAAGTCAAAAGTTGCCAAGGAAACGGCTCTTGACACCTGGCCACATGGCTTTCTCTTTGAAGTTAGGGTAGCATATTTGAATATTGCCCCCTGCCCCTTGATTAGGATGTCACAACTCTCTGCCCTATAGCCTTAGCACAGAGGACGGACCCTAAGGGTTTATGGCCTTAAGCCAAGCCCCAAAACATAGTTTTTAAAAAGAGAAACACAGCCATTGTTTCTCTGGTACCCATCCCCTCCCCACCTTGCAACTTAAGTACTGCAGGTGATTCTGACTGTGTTCCCTGGAGTCCGGACCAGGGAACCCGCACATGGCTGGCTGGACTAGTCCGTGTGTTTTAGAATTGCACCAGTTGATACTTTAGTCCCCCCCCCCATTTCTTCTACGAGGAGATTTCTTCAGCGCTTGGACCTCAGATATATATAAGCGACATCCTGTTGTGTTATCCCCTTTTGTCTGTTGAATTTATTATTTTCCTTGCTGATTGCTTTCTATGAACTATTGTAACTAAGGATCTTGTGTGCATCTGCGAATGCATCTGTTTTTCGTATGCTTGAGAACTGTTTAGTAAAAAGGCAACATTTATTCATTAAACCTAGCGTGTTGTCTCACTTCCTGGGAATTAGGAGCGTTCGTGGCCAATCCGCCCTCTGGATACACGGGACAAGAACTCACGCCTCGCCCACTGTTGTACATAAATCAGAATTGGGCTCCCGGAACCATCCTTAGAGGAGATCGGGTATCAGAAGAGATGTTCAGAGATGATTTGCCATTGCCTGCTTCAGCATAGCACCCTGGACTTCCTTGGAGGTCTTCCTTCCAAGTACTAACCAGGGCTGACCATGCTTAACTCCTGATATCTGACGAGATCAGGCTACCCTGGGCCATTATCTCAGTAGGAATGCCAGCCTGGAATTACAGCTCATCTCCAGATTACAGAGATCAGTTCCCTTGGAGAAAATGGATGCTTTGGTGGGTGGACTCAATGGCAATGTACCCCACTGAGGTCCCAAAACTCCCCAGGTTCCATCCCCAAATCCCCAGGAATTTCCCAACCTGGATCTGGTAACCCTACCCTCCCATCCTCTGCCAATGGCTGGGGGCATCTGGCAATCCTAACTGTCAGTTTAACTTGACCAGGGCAATGAGAGGGTAAACAGAGGTTGCAGGTGCAGCCCAAAATCCCCCTGAGGTTTAACATGATTGCTAATTCTTGTGAGACTTCAGGGGAATTGACTGGGCATGTGCAGCCTGCTAAGAAGCATGCTAGTGAGAAGGTGGCTTGGCTCTCTCTCCAGGTTGTGCAGAAGAAACCCAGTGGAGAGGAGGAGGAGGAGGAAGAAGAGGACGAGGACAAAACACCACCACCACCACCAAGTGCTGCAATCCCCATTCCCTCTCCTGTTCTAAGACTGTGCGTCTAAACAGTGCAATAGAGGGTGTGCAGGATAAGAAAGCTGCTGAGGGCAGGGACATGGATGCCCCTGAACCTCCCAAAGCCTATTTGCTAATCATATTATCTTGACACATGTGCATCCTTTATTACTCATAGCTTATTATCCCCACCTATTGTTGCTATTTTCTAGTTCTTTTCCTCGCCTAGATACCTTTTCCATTTCAACTGCAGTCAGACTCAGCAGTTATGGAATGTCTGATCCCGAAGCACTCCATTCCAACAGAAGGGACCACAAAAAAAAAAAAAGCACACTCATGAGAATCTAATTCCACTGTGATCATGCAAAACAGGATGACTGAACGCATCACACTAAGAATGAACTGCTCTTTCCTTGTCCTTCGCCCTTTCCTGTCATCACATATAAAAACTTTTGGCCACCAGCATTTATCATCCTCCAAGCACTCAATGGCTTTTAAAGGTAACCTTAGGATAATCTCTACTGAAGACAATTGTTGCAAAAAACAGTGTATTAAGAAATTTTTCAGATGTAGATCTAAGATGTCCTAAAAATAAAAAGGGTGAATACTGTAACGATGTATTCGCAAATATGTATAACATATAGGTTCTGTTATTTGGCACCTATTGGGATTTCTCAGGTGTTAAATAGCTCTGCAAAGCTAAGGAAATTGTATCACCACCAATTATCGTAGTTGGGAATAGTTTCTGTATTTTTTCTTCAATAGATTTAGCTTTTACCTTATTACAGTCCACTTTTTTTTTAAAGTCCAGTGGCACCTTTAAGACCAACAAAGTTTTATTCAAGGTATAAGGTTTCATGTGCATGCACACTTCTTCAGATACAATAAAATGGAAATTACCAGTCCATACATATAGGTAGAGGGTGAGTTTATGTGGTTATTATTTGTTTGGGTTTAATTCCCGGGGAAGGGCACAGTGAAGGAAATAAATATGTCAGACATTGATGGGCACATGTATTTTTATTTGTGGAATGCTGAGAGTGATTAACTGAGACCCTGCCATTACACTCCATCTATCTCCTCTCAAGCATGGAAACAACCTTACAGCATCTTATTCTTTAAACTGGGGCGATTGGCTGTGTAAGTATCTCCCCTGTTCCCAGACCAGAGAAATACATTCCAATCTACCATTTCAAATTACATTACACTCTACTATTCTTTACATTACATTACAAGCTACTATTATAATCTGTTATCCCAAATAAGAAACAAAATAAAATAAAGAGGACATATGGCCCTTTTGGGGGATTGGTGAGAATACAGATGTAAGGGCTGGATAAAATTAGCATATGTAGTAAGATAAGAAACCAAAATCCCTGTTAAGTCCTGAGGATTCCATTGTTCTGAGTGTTGTAATAACCTGCAATTCCCCTTTCTAGTCTGTTCCCAAAGTTCCTTTGCAATGTTGGTATACAGAGATTCCACATCCATAGTGGCTAAAATAGTATTCTCTGGAAGGATGTTCAAAGATTGTATTTTCCTCAGAAAGTCTGTGGTATCGTGAACATAACTTGGAATGTTGATGGCATAGGGTCCTAGAACAGAGTCCATATATCCAGATACCCCCAACAGTAATAGTGCCTGTGCCTGAGACAATGGACATTGTTTTTGTTTTTCAAATCAGGTTTGTCTATGAAACATTCTCTCAAAGAGTCTTTTATCCAACAGAGGTCAAGGTCACTCTTTCAAGTTATATCTTAGAGCACATGGGTACAGACTAAATTGATTGAGTGTTCACAATGATGAGAAAGTCAGTCAAGGGGAATTTCAATGGAAATTGAATTGACACATCCTTGCTTGGAGTTTAGCTGGTCTGTTTCTTCCTGGAACATTGTCTCAGAGCTGTTTCTCCTGTCTAAATGAATTCACACTGTAGGCTGATATGCAAGAAAACTTAATTCAACTTCCCTGTGGTCTGACTACCTGCAAAGTTTTGTGAAGCTAAACAACTTAGTCCAGGTTCAACACTGACTGGTGCCAGCTCCAAAGATAAATTTTTCTTAAGAAGGGGGTAGCTCACTGTCAGATTCCCAGTTAAAGCGGCAAACAAAGAGAGGGTCACAGTCCAGAGAACTTACAATATATGAATCATGCAACTGTGATAAAGAAGCATTCACAATTTGTTATCTAAAGATGTTATACAAAACATTAATTTCTGAAGTGACTATTACAGGAGATAATACAATAGAAACAGAAGCGAAAAGGCAGGACGGTGGTCTCCGGATTGGTGCTGCCGTTTCAACAATATGTCTTCTTCTGACCAAAAATTGTGCCAGTCAATGCGAAGTATGGAGTTCCTCAAGCAACAAAAACCTGCATACTCATGAGTTTTCTAACTCTTATAGTTTGAGAAGCAACATCTCTAATTCTAGAAAAAAGGTCTCCCAAAAGGAGAAGTCAAAGCTAAAGCTCCAAAGATAATTTTTTTCTTAAGAAGGGGGTAGCTCACTGTCAGATCCCCAGTTAAAACACTCTCCACAACACTTTTCTAGTGCACTGAAA